CTGAGTGGATTTTGATCAATCAGATTGACCATTAATAGCCTAGGGTGGCCTTCAGTCGCCCGTGAGATCATATAGTTTTTTTTCTGTGATCTGGACTGTTAGACTGCCTCAAGATTTGTGCATACCATTTTTGGGTGTACAATTGTAAATATTATATTGCGTTTCATTCTAGAAAACAGTCATCTGGATTATGAAATATACTAATAACTATGTAGATGTTCTTATATTGAAAACAATATTTTTTGCATTTCATTTTATATATAGTCATTTGATTTGGATTTTGTATAAGAAGACCAAAAAATCATTTCATATATATTGTACTAATACTAACATTTATCAATGTATAAAAGCTATAACAATCAACAACAACAAGCCTTTATCCCACTAAATGGGGTCAACTACACGAGTCCTTTTTCTCCATCGTGTCCTATTGAGTTTCATAATTTCGTTTAATTTAATAGATTAAGATCATTTTTTATACAATATGTCCAAATCCTTTTAAGGTCTACCTCTGCATTTCTTAACATTAGTCGAAACTGGAACATCTACTCTCCTAACCAAATCATCAGATAATCGACATTTAATGTGACCAAACCATCTAAAACAACACTCTCTAATCTTGTAAGTCACTGGAGCAACCCTCTACCTTATCACAAATATATTCATTTCGCATTTTACCTTGAAGTGTCAAGTCACTCATCGACCTAAGCATTCTCATCTCAGCAAAACTTAACTTATTTTGTGCTTCTCTTTTAAAGGCTAATATTCTGCAGCATAGAGCATTGCAGGTCTCATCATCATCTTATAAAATTTTCCTTTCAGTTTAAGCGGTACTTTTCGATCACACAATCTTTCACACAATTAGTTGGATGCATTCCTCAACTTCAACCAACCAACTTGAACTAAATTAACAACATCCTCATCTATGTCACCATCACTATGAACAATAGACCCGAGATATCTAAAAGTTCACACCTTTTAATGATTTGAACACCCATAGTTACAACTCTGACACAAGAGCTACTACTACTAAAATTGCATTTCATGTATTCAGTTTTAATTCTACTCAAATAAAGACCTCTAAACGCCAATGTAGATATCCATAATTCAAGTTTTTTTCTGAAATATTTTTCTAGTTTTATCCACAAGAAGGATATCATCAGCGAAAAGCATATCATCAGACAAGAAGGATATCATCAGCGAAAAGCATACACCAAGGTAAATCCTCCTATAAATGTCTAGTAAGAGGATCCATAACTAAAGCAAAAAGAAATGGGCTTAAAACCGATCCTGATGTAATCCAACTAAAATAGGAAAATACTTGGTCAATCCTTCTTCTGTTCAAACACAAGTAATAGATCTAGTTTACATATAATTAAAATCTTGAATATAAGTCATATCAACACTTTTATACTATAGAACTCTCCAAAGAAACTTCTCTTGGAATCATATTGTAAGCTTTTTCTAAATCAATAAAAATCATATATTGATCCTCTTTATTCTCTCTGTACTTTTCCATCAAACCTCTCAATAATTATATAGCTTCCATAGCAAACCTGCTCGACATAAACCCAAACTGATTATGAGAAATTTTTGTATCACGTCTCAACCTATTTTCAGTTACCTCTCTCGTAATTTTAAATTATCATACATCAACTTAATTCCTCTATAATTTGCATACTTTTATGCATCCCTTTTATTCTTAAAAATGGAACCAAAATACACTTCCTCTACTTCTCAGGCAATTTTTCAATTTTTAAAATAATATTATAGAGTTTAGTAAGCCAAGAAACTCTCAAATCACTTAAATATTTCTGTTTGTCTTATATTGAGGAGCCTGAACGAATATTGGATTATAATCTGAAGAAATTTTGGAATAGAGAGATCCCATTTGTGAAGAATTTATAGAAGCATTGGTTGGAGAAGGATGCAACTTGAGGAATGTTTCTGATATGCGAGAAAGATATCCACAGCTTTTCAATTGAGGTGTGTTTATTGTTGTATTTAATATTTCCAAATTTCGAGGAAGAAATTTTTTCAAGTACAAGAGGTTGTAATAACTGAATTTTAAAATAAAATAATAATAATAATAATAATAAATGAATATCGGCAGTTAAAGGAGATGCACCCCTTGTAAGAAACTTATTTCTCGCTCCTTCTGCATTTTTCCCCCATTCGAAAGCAAACGAGTGAGAGACAGTGGGAGAGATCAAAAGAATGATCGAGAGCAGCGGAGGAGAGGAAGGAGTAAAAAGTGTCCCTTACCTGTTTTGACGTCGAGCCCTAATCGAAGGAGGAAGAGAATCGTGCGGCTTTGGCACTACTCTAGGTCGAGACACTGTTGAAAAGAGAAGGAGAAGAGAGATTGTGCGACTTGCGTTCAAAGGAAGAGGAGAAATTTTGCTAGTATGTTGTCTATCCCAAGCCCTAGACAATCGAAGTTGTGGAGGAAGGGAGGAGGCGCGGTTTGAGCGTTGTGCTCGTGTGTTGAGTTGAAGTTGAGCCTTAGTTGAGCGGCTTCGGGATTGTTGTCACGCGTAGAGGAAGAGAAAGAAGCAGGTGGTGGTGGTGTGCTCTGTTGAGACAAACCACGACCCAAAGAAGAAGAAAAAGGAAAGCTTCAGCAATGTCGTGGGGAGAAGGGGAGCTTTTGAGCTTGGGTTCGGAGCAAAGGCCCAAATTTATATAAAGGTATGTTTAATATTTTCATAAGTTAATTAATATGTTATTATATAAATAAATTTTATATATGTGAGTGTGTGTGTGTGTGTGTGTGTGTGAGAGAGAGAGAGAGAGAGTGGGTGTTTATTTATAAGTGTTAATTGTAGTTTACCTAATTTAGGAATCGAAGACTTGATGAATTCTTAGGATTTAAGAAAAAAGAGAATTAAGGTATTCAAAGAAGGATAAAATAAAGATTTATAAGTTTTATGCATTAATTATGTAAATTATTTTAATTAAACATGATATTAATTGCATATTAACAAATTTTATGAATTAATTTTAGTGATTTTAATTTATTAAATAGTTAAAATAACAAACAATAGAGAAGTCAAAGTGCTAGGGGAAGTGAAGGAATAAGTGTTTCAAAGAATTTTTTTAAATAAAAGTTACTAATTATTTTCTTTTACGCATTAGATTAAAGTTTAATTAAAGGAATAATTACAATAAATGATTTAAAACCAAAACTTCATTCATTATTTTTATTTTGAAAGTCTGAAATAGCATAAAAAAAGGAAAACAACAGACTAATGAATGTATATTTTAAATGATTTTAAATTCACATGGAATAAAATGTAAAGGTTTAAGTCATACAGGACTATCCCTAGATGGTACTGGCAAGGGATGAGATCTACCCGTGCATGTTAAAGGAAAGAGTAAATGTACACATTCGGGTGCAATTTTAAGGTACCTTTGGGCACATTTTTTAAGGACGCCCTCGGACCTTTTTTTTTTGGATACATTCGGATAAGACGGCAATACTGTTATAACTTTTAAAAAATTTAAAAACAGTAAATACTTAAAGTGAAACGAGAACGGATAAATTTAAAGTTTAATGAAATGAACTGAATTTTTTTTTGTCATTCATGCATAACATAGCATAAGAATTTAATGTATATTAGATTATAATTATTTACTAAGTCATATTTAAGGTTGCAATTAATGATTTCTTTCAGCAAAAGAAAAATTTTAGTTGATATGTCGGCAAGAGAGACAGTTTACAGTAGGAGAACTGCAGTTGATAGGTACTAGTATGATATGTTTGTAATTTATTTTGTATTATTTCGTTTGAATAGACATATATGGTTGTATGGATAGAGATTTTACTTCCAAATTTTTTGTTAATGTTGGATGATTTAAATTTCCTTATTGTAATTGTGGATTATTAGCAGCTCTTTTATATATAGTGAAAGTTCCAAAAATATGGATAGTTAGATGTTAATGTCGTCCGACCACAGTAACCATCTTAGTCAATTCTAAGCATCGGGATAGGTCGTGATGCGTGATGAAGAAGACCAAATCAAGCTAGGCTGCACAAACCAAGTAACCAACTCAATTCGGAGTGCCTGTTTAAACCATAATTGGATTAATTCATGCATTAATGCACTCTAAAAAACATATTGGGCTTTATCCAAGAAGATTGGCTAAAATTGACTAGTATGATCCCTCTGGCTAATTTGATCCATAGGTGATGCCTCATGATTTATGTGCCATGTCAAACATTATTGCTCAAAGGCCTCAAGATTGATTAGTCTGATCCCTCTGGTCGGTTTGATCCTTATAAGATGCCTCAAGATTTGTGTCATGTCAAACATCATGTGTGGTCAGATGAGAATTTTCACCATCCCAAGAAACTACATGAATTGCTTCACTAAAAAATAGATTAAAATACGAAATCCAAATAATTAAAATTAAAATTTATTTTTAATAATTGCTATCATCCAGCCAATGGCCAATTTTCAAATTACTTATTATGATCTATGAAAAAATAGTAAATGCTAAAAGATTTAAATATTCATCAAAGCAGAATAGATAAAAGCATTCCAAAATCTGAATGGTTCACAGAAACATGGTTTGCAAAATATTGTGAAACGTTTAACGTGTATGTGATGTAGTTGAAATGATGTTTCAAGCATCTTCTATCATCCGTGTGAGCTGAAATCAAAAAAAAAAAATTACACAATGATCATAATAAAGAAATGATTAAAAAACTACAGAATGCCCCGGTAATGGAACAAGACCTCCAATCTGTGGGTAAGACTAAGGAGGCACTAACCAAATTGCATTTAAGTATGCGGCTACTACCCAAAAAAAATGATAACAACAATAATTTGTGTGCCTTACACATGCTGCCATAATTAAAGGAAGCAGGAACTATCATGTGTTATAGGCTTATACATCTAATATCAAATGCCATGTAACTAGAATTCAAATTCTCACTTTAAAAGTGCCAACAAACAAAGTCAATACATATACTCATTTGAAGTTTAGCATGTTACCAGAAATGGCCTCTCCAATATAATGGGAGACGGCACTTCAACAACTTGTAAGTCAATATCCTTCTGAACAAAAGGCTGCAAAAAAAAGCATGCTTTCTAAGATGACCATATATTTTCTGTAGGTATATGAATATAGGTAATATTTCTGCAGGGGAAATGCTTTACAAACAAATATTATATAAAGAGGTTCAAAATTATGCATTTAAATATTGAAACGCTTTTTGTCTGTGAAGCTAGTTGTAAACCTCGAGTTAAAGTAAGTCTAATAATCAATAAATTATGCAAAATAAAAAGTACTATATACAAATTAAATTTTAAAATAAAAAGAATCATATTAGCATCCTAACTTCTAACATATTAACAACCAACATAGTAAGTAACAAATTGCATAAAGTATTAAGTAATATAATAGCATCCAATTATCAAATTTTGAAGTAAAAAAGTATTATGCAAATATCAAAGTAAGAACTAATAACTTAACAATTCAAAAAATAATAATAATAATATAATTAGTTTCTCTCCCACTCCTACTGTCAAACACTGAAATGAAAATATAATGAATAACAAACCATCAAAAGTAAATCAAAAATCACTAGCACAAATAGGTATTCATCCGAATCAACATCTCTTCTCCCCTATTTCATCATCAACTGTGTCAACGAACTCTCATTTCATTCTTCTCATCATCCATCTCAATCACCACCAGGAGAAATGTGGAGGAAGAGGAAAAAGAGTTGTCTCACTTGTTGAGGAAAAGCATGGCAAAGACACAAACATCAACAAGTAGGAAAATAGCAACATCCAAAGAAGACATAAGGCTTGAGAGAAGGGGTTGGGCATGTCTCGGAGAGTGACCAAAGTTACATGAGGCGTGAGGAAGAAATAATAAATGGGTTTTTTATTTTTAATATTTATTTAAAAATATCCTAATCCAAAATAATATGATGTGCACAGTGCATACATCTTGAAACTAGACATATGCCTCACATTAAAGTGTTGCGTACATCTAGCGGCAAAGCTGCTCAGCTAAACCTCAAAATGAGCAAGTTTAAACAAGTTATATATATTATTCGTATATAGTATATCAAGTAAAAGTTATCAGTAATATAAAGATTCTGAATAAGGCATTAACTATAAGCTATGTCAATATAAAGAAACAAGTAAGCTATTATTTACCTTCCATTACAAATGAATCAGCGCCTAGTACTATTCTTCTTGCATGCCTTAGTCAAAATTTTTTGTGAAAATGATGGGGGGACGAGTTAGGTTAAGTTAAACAAATATAAAATGAAAAGGGGTACAAGATAGTATAATGAATTTGCAGGTAAAGATAAACTTGAAATATCTGAAAGATGAATAGAAATGTATCAATAATAGAATAAAAAATTCCAACAATTCATGTCTAAGAAATAATTACATTCTACTCCTAGGCCAAATGTACCTCAATCATGTTGTAGGCTTTATAAATTCATGTCATGCTCTCTTAAGTGAGTTTATTCTTCTAGGTCAAATTTTTTTAAAGCAAATCCGCTAATACATTTCACTCTCATTTTGCGAGAATTTCATGAACAATTTATACGTTTACCTTAGACGCAAGCCTCTATGATTACTTATATCTCCTAGCGATGAGAGAGAACTTTTGAAGGCTAGTCATCAGGCATTGGTTGTTTAGTGTATAATAATAACAATTTGGTTCTAAATTGAAAAAAAAAATCACTTCTAGCTTATAATGCAAATGGTATAAAAATGATGACAAAACCATTTAAAATTCTATGGTTGTCATGATTCCTAATTTATTTAGTCAAAGGATATAGTTGAACTAACCTAACTCAAGAATCCTTATCTACAATGATGGTTCACATCATCAAAAAGAACCTTAAAAATCTGAGATGGATACTCATCTAAGAGAATAGTTTTAGGTCAAATTTAGCTAATAAAGGGCTTTGTGCCCTATCAAATGTGCTTTATAGTTCACCACTAAATAATTAAGGACATAGTGGAACTTGCAAACTTTCGTTATGAAAGTAATTTTATTATATCATTTTTGTAATAAATCACAAAGTCAGAGTATTCTAGTCATAATCGTTTCTTTTTATAACAAAGTCATATATTTAAAGGAGACGTGTTATGTCTTTACTTGTCTTAACTCTTTAAGAAGTTGCATAATTGTTGGTAATGAAGATGCAAGTTTTTTGTGGTCTAGTGGTCTATATTGCCTACTAGCTGCGGATAGGGGAGTGGTTTGGTGGTCTCTGTTGGTTGTAACTGTAGTTTTGCAATGTTGGTTGTTGGTAGGGGTTGGCTCTGGATTTGGTTGTAGCTTTGCATTGATGGTTATGGTTGGTGTTGGTTGTGATTTTGGTTGTAGTTTTGCAATAATAGTTATTGATTGTGGAAGTGATTTGATTGATTTTCTGCATACAAAAAAGTAAACAATTATGCATTTATATATGTAATGTGGGTTTTGACGACTTTGATTTTTGTAATGTTATGTAGAGCAATGATTAAAAGAAAAAAATAGCTCAATTGATTACCAATTATGACTTATATAATTGTCCCCATTTATTTGTGACAAATACTACCTGGTCTTAAAACACAAATCACGTTATTAATCATAGATAATATGTAGCCATAGAGCACACATCAAACTCTTAATTATGAATACAATCTGGTCTTAGAGCATATATGACACCGGTAACCACAAATATCATTTGGTCTTAGAGCAAATAAGACACTAGTAACCACAGATACTACATGAACTTACCACACGACACTCTTAACCACAGATAATACTTGATCTTAATGCACACATGACACTGTTAACCACACATACTACCTAATTTTAAAACACATCACATAGTTAAGCACAGATATTGCGTGGTCTTAAATCTTGTGTATGATACAGTTGGTGACTCAGGATAGAGCAATTTTTAATAAATTGATTTCACTGAACTCTAATTTGATCTGCTTATTTTATAAATTTTGTTTCAATTTTATAAGTATTTTTTTAAATTGCAGGCTAAATTATATTATTCCACCAAAAGTTTTTATTTACATGATAAATCAGATGAGGAGACAAAAGGAATGTGGTATATCGACAATTTGAGAGAGAGAGGTCAATATCTTATTATGTTATTTATGCTTGAAAAAAATCGAAATTGGTAATAGAACAACCACGCACTTTAATAAAAAAGGTTAGCAAAACATAACCAAAAACTTTCATGAAAGAACATGGAGATTGTAAGATAAACTCAATTGAAGAACCAATGGGATTAGCTAAAAAAATTTGAAAATTTTGAAAAGAATTAAAGAGAGAGACAACTGGATTAGGTTGGGACTCCTTAGAAAAACAGTGGATGCATCACAAGAATGGTGGAAAGAAAAAATTTCAATAAGTAGAAAATGTTATATGAACTCTTTATATTCTCATATTTATTGAACTTCGATTTTATCTACTGCAGATCCTGCCCAATGCCAAAAAATTTGGGATTTCTAGCACAAACCATGAGCTGGAGGAAAAACTTGTTCTATTTTTTTCAATGTTGTGGCCACGGGCTCACATGTCTCGGAAACAACACAAGGCTTCCTCCAAAATTTAGATGCACTCGAATATGCTCATTCAAATGAAGTCCAAGAGGAAACACCACGGGAGAGAATAAGGTGAATCAAGCCATTCCAAGCGCTCCACCCTCCATGCAGAAGCGTAAGAAAAAAATGAAGGTTGGTGCCCAACATTTATCTGAGCAGATTTTGCAGCAAGTCACAACCTGTATGACATTCAGTGCTTGCACGATTATTTAGGGATACCCAACCATGACAGAGATCATGAAGCTATTGAACTTCACCCAAGATATTCAATGATATATCCTTATATTTATTTTCCATAAAACTTTTAGAATATCGAATAAAGAGAGGCTTTCATGATAGTAGTGTCGGAATGGAGACTTCCTTGCCTCCAATATTTTTGAAATAATTAGTCAAGTTAGTTTGTATTGAATTATTTCTTTTTCTCATTAGTGTATAATAATTTAGGGTCTGTTTGGCGCAGCTGTAGCTTCTCAGCTTTTTAGCTGCAGCTACGCTGCCTCAAAAAACTGCTACGGGGAAGCAGCTACGGGGAAGATGGCTGTCTATTTAGTAGTGCAGCTGTGTGAAAATAGATGTGGGTCAGTTGTTTCTAGAGAAATGACCATGCTGCCCCTGTTTGATAAAACTGTTTAAAAATTGTTATGTATTTATATGAAATGTTTAATATATGTAAATATACGAAATTAATAATTGTTGTGAAATAAATTTAAGTATTGGATACGTATATGTATATAATTGATTAATATACGTAAAAAATTTAAATTTTTAATTGCAAAACTTAACAAGTTCTTTAATGTCAAAGCAAATTTTCTACACTCACAAAGTGATCAATTCCTCCATTTCTTAAAGAACAAAATCATGCTCCATGTTCAAGAACTGTAAATAGTATGAGATAAAACATTGGCCTCAAATAAATTAACAGAGACGAAGTACCTCAAAGAAACCCCCCACCAAATTCAAAGAAACCCTTCCTTCCCAAAGAAACCAGGAACAATTCACTGCACTTGTTGCAGTACCCCAAAGTAAAACATTGGCCTCAAATAAATTAACAGAGACGAAGTACCTCAAAGAAACCCCCCACCAAATTCAAAGAAACCCTTCCTTCCCAAAGAAACCAGGAACAATTCACTGCACTTGTTGCAGTACCCCAAAGTAAAACATTGGCCTCAAATAAATTAACAGAGACGAAGTACCTCAAAGAAACCCCCCACCAAATCCAAAGAAACCCTTCCTCCCCAAAGAAATCAAGGAACAATTCACTGCACTTGTTGCAGTACCCCAAAGAAACCCCTACTAAATCCAAGCTACACAGCAAGAAAACCTTCCTATTTGTAATTCAATACAAGAAAGACAGACATCATAACCACAGAGAAACACCAACAGAACAACATCAAAAACAAACGCAGTACTACCCAAAGGAAACCACCAGCAAATCATATCATAGAAACAGATCTAACGGGGAAGGGTCAAAATTTCTTACCCTTTCT